AATTTTAATATAGAAAGAAAATTTCAATTTTCACTATATTTTATTAATAAATTTAGTCTTTGAGTCATTACTTTTGGTTGCCACTGTATTTAATATTTTATTAATTAAGTTATATAATTAATTATAAATTAAATAATATTTTACATAAATATAAATTAATATAATATAAATATGTTATATAAGAAATTTTTATAATTATTAAATAAAATAAATTAATAAGAAAATAAAATAAAGTTTAAGAAGTTAATTAATACTTCAAATATATAATTATTTTTTCTTATTTTTAATTTATTTTTATTTGATCTTAATTTATCTAACTAATAAAAGTTAGTTTCTTAAATATTATTTAATTAATTACTAATAAATTTTATTCAAACTATTCAAAATTATCCAAGAATTAATTTTAAGTTTAATATATATTTTTTAAATTTTTTTGAAATAATTATTTAATTACAAAAATATTTATATTTTATAATTATAATTACTTATTTGACTAGTAAAAGTATTATAATTTATTTATTATAAACTTATTATATATTTTATTAATATTAATCAAAAATAATAAAAAATAAACTGAAATATTAAATTATACTTTTAAAAGATTTTATTAATAATTTTATAAATTTACTATCTTCTTTATTTACTTTTTTAAAATATTTTTTTCTTTAAATAATATCTAGTTTAACTTTTTAAATAAATACAAGTATTAATATTTTCTTTTTATATCTTTAAATAATTAAAAATTATATTTAATTTATTTTTTATTTATTTAATTAAGAAAAAATAAAGAAATCAATAAAAAAATTTAGAAGATGTTAAGCATTTAAAGAATATTAAAAATTGAATATGATAAAGTGATATAATTAAGATGGTAATAGATGATATATAATTATGATGTAATATTGAATGGATCAAGATATTCTAGTCATGACAAAAAAAATTTATAAACCCAATCCAATCAAATTGCAAGATATATAACATTTTATTAAGGTTAGGCACGCAAAAGTATATATAGTAAAATTTTCGCAAGAAATATTTTTTGTCAGAAAAGTTATTTTTCAAAAATTAACACGTTTTTCAATCAGTGATGGGATATAAAAATTCTGAAATTATAACAGATCTATTAATCAAAATCATCGAATCAACCCGAACCGGCCGAATTATATCTTTTCGAATATGATGCAAACCCGGGACGAACCGAAATCGAACCGATTTTTTTCGGATTGAAAAACAGCAGGAACGAAGTGTCGGACTCGGTTCGGGTCATGGAAGCTTTATTCTCTCAGGAGATCATGCAGGAAATATCGTATATGACTGAAAATAGGCAACCCCCGATAATAAGGAAATCACGATAAAATAATAAGCCCTGTAAATAAGAAACTTTCGACTTTTTGCGTTATGCATTTATTACATTCTATAATTACATATCTCGGAAGCTACATATTCGCATCAAAAAAAATATAAAATCTTCATATTACCAGTCGGTGTCTTTGTATTTCTGTGGGTAGAAATGGATTTTATCGATCACTATGCTAGTGTGCATTATTGCATAATGAATCGGGACATCAAATCAAAAAGTCTCAAATGACGATTTTTGAGGTTCTTATTTTCAGTCATATACAGTGGTAGTTGTTGTATACTATTGACACAATCCATCCTCCGCGTGCTCCTGAAAAATGCTATTTATTTGTGAAAAAAAATGGTATAGGATTATTGCTAATTTTGATCCGGTTAGTCACTAGCGATTCTATTGGCTGATAAATTTCGGACTTTTCCCATAGTAAAGTAGAATTCAGTTGTTTCAAATACTGATTGGTAGAACAGAAACTGGAACAAATCAGAAACATGCAAGTTTAATTTCCACTTTATTTCGCCAATCTGGACTAGAATAGATGTGTGTCCCTGTGTGTAAAAAGTTAAATTAAATGCAATCTACGAGTAGCGGTTTTTTCGACCAATTACCAACCCCTGAACAATAGCTTTATGAAAACACATGGTCGCTTTGTTCAAGTAATATCTACCTTCTATTACTATATTATTTCATTCATCGACTAGTATAACATTATCTCGCTGGCTGCTTGTTGGTATGCATTATTTTCCCACCATTGCATTCGTTACCAAACAAAGCAAAATCATAAGGTTTACTTTCGAGGTTTTCTTTTGTGCCCTTTTCTTTCTTTTGCTATTATTACCATCAAAACACACAACAAACATTTTGTCTCTCCTTGAATGTTTTTCAAAAATCAAAAAATTTGCATACATACATATTATATATATACATACATATTAGTCTTAGTCTTCTTTATCATTTTCAAACAGTAGTTTATTTATCCGTTCGTTCACGTATATTTCTATACCTATTTATATTGCTTTTTGGCTGTACAACAAGTTCGTTCTTCACTCTTTTATTAATAATTAATTGAATAAAGCTTGTGTGTGATATTTATTAAATCACCTTTTTTTTTTACTAAATGTACTGTCCCCAACTACTCGATCTATATAACATAGTAGATGGAGTCTCTATTGACTTTGATAAACGAAGTTGTGGACAGACCACCTTCCTTGACTACCCCTAATACTCATCCTCCTCCTCTACCACCACCGTCTATACTTTCACCTAATAACAACTCGTTTGAAATAAATAAAGACGGCCATGAGATCTTTGATTCGGAAGGAAGAGACGACGATAATGCTATCTCTCCATTAAAAAGAAATTTGGACATTTATAATAGTAACAATAAAAAACAGGACAATAGTAACACCAACAACAATTTAAACAATTCAGACAACTTAACTATAGATGATTCTTCTGGCGAAGAAAAAGAACATAACTCAAAAAATCTAGAAACATTGTCGCAGGAAACGTCAAATTCACCTTCAACACCTTCATTTCTTAAAAGTGCCACCATTTCTGTTGCCATTGGCAATTTATCAGCGATTCCAGAACAAACTGAACTTATGACTACAGTTGTAGAGTCAAAACTGGAAAGTCGACTATTAGCCACTACTACTACTACTAATTCTACTTCAAAAACATTATTGAGCGAAAAAAGCGCCTCGTCTTCTGTTGTTGATGATAATTCTATGTCTTCATCGTCTTTAGATAGCTTAGAATCTAATAACAATAATAATAGGGAATTAGCGGCATCAAAACAGGAAGGAATGAGGGTATTTGAGGAGGTGAAGGAAGATGTGATAAAAAGTCGTCGTGTAAATAGTAATAATAATAGAGACGCACTTTTTAGAACAGCTGAACAAGAAGAAAACATCATTTACAATATTAATAATAAAAATATTGAAAAAATATTAACAAAAGAAGAGGAGAACAAAGCGGAAGAAAAGGAAGAACAAAAAAAAGAAAATCCATTAATAATTAAAACTAATTATATCTCAAAGACTCCTATTGAAACAGAACAAGCTTATGAATATTCAAATATACTTCCCCAATCATCATCACCCTCATTTGCTACTATACATTCAGATGAATCAATCTTGGGCGAACATTATCCTGCAATTAAAGAAACACCTTCTGTATCAGTCTCACCAGCACCTTTATTAATGGCGGGTGATCGATATCCCCCAATGACACCTTTGCGAAGCATTAAAGATTTTACTCGAGCTGGAATATTAACCTCCAGGGAAGTTCGATATCCTAGTCCCGGTACCTTTTTTGCAGGAAAGAGTGGCCCATTAGGAGATATAAGCGGGAGATTATCACCAAGCAAAAGGGTAAATTTTCATATCTAACATTTTCGATATAATTATACTTTTATATAAAAATTCCAATTAAAATATAAAATTGTATTATTATTTTTATATTATTATTATGGTTATGATTCTACGATAATTAAATTTAAATTACTATTATTATTGAGAAAAATTTAGTCCAAAAATTTCCGTGTTTGACTGTTCTCAAAGATCATTCTTACAAGTTAAAAATCGATTTCAAAAATCTTGCGCGCAAATTCGATTGCTATTAGCCAAGATTCTTTTCACCAAATTCAAATAGAAACGAGCGTTGGCCGACACCAACGATTGATACTACACGAACTGAACGTTCAGGGCGAAAGACCATGGAAGGCTGGCCTACCTCACCACGTCGTATGCAATTGGCAAGCCCGCGCTTCAAGTCTTTAACCGACCTTGTGGAAGAGACATCAGAGAATCCTGAACAGGTATTAAAAAATTTGATTCGCTATTACGTTCTTTTTATAAAGTATAAACAAATCGATTTTATTGTTACCTTGATAATATTAAATTTTTCTTATAGATAGAAATAAGTGAAAAAAGACCGGAATCTTTGGAATTACCTATTCAACTTTCTCAGGAAAATAAAGTAATCTCATCTTCATCTATTGAAGAAAATGATGCAATCATAAGAGGATTGGATGAGAATAATAAGAAAATTAATTATGAAGAAATTCGAGAAGAAAAGATTCCAGCAGATCCTGAAGATGATAAAGAAAAAGAAAAACAAGATATTCCCGGAAAACTCTTAATAAAATCATCATTTAGTGAAATTATTCGGTCAAAAGACAGTGAAATACCATTGAACACCAGTAAAAATTTTCAATCAAAGTCACGATTATTTGCAACAAAACCCTCAAGACGCTCTTCTGCTTCCTTTAAAGATGAGAATTCAGGCGATGATAAATCGATAAAATCATTGGAATTGATTTCAGAAGAAGAGGAAAGAGAAGAGGAAGAAGAACAAGAAACAAAGAAACCAAAAAACGACAAGGGAAAAAACCGAAGTGAAAGACACATTTCAGGTTTGTTCAATATGCCTCCTTTGGTTGAGAATAGTGAGGATATTGAGGAAGAGGAGGAGTGCGATTCAACCCCAACACCTTCGCCCATAATAAAACCCTCAGACACAACAGCGAGCTTGGACATTGGTCGTATTAAAACACGAACATCAGCCATTAATTTATTTCCCTCTCGAGATCCTCAAACAAATGAATCAAAAAAATTTAGTGATAACAAATTTTTTCGGTCAATACAAACGAGGAGAACAGACAGAAAAAATGTACCGAAAAAACTAATGATAATATCTGAAGACGAAGATGAAGAAGAATCAAAAACTTCAGACAATGCACAAACATTTAATAATGATCGGAGGTCATCTCCAAAATCAGCGCCATTACCTTCATCATCGACACCTAATATCTCATTTCCAATAACACCAGCTACTACAAAGACTATTTGGAGATGGCCTAAAAGGCCATTTAGTCCAGCTCGAGAAAAATGTAAAGAACAATCACCTAATGATTCTAATGATGACCCTTCAATGCATATTGGAAAAGTGGGAAATCTATGGGCTAAAAAGACGCTAGGACAATTAAGAGAATATCATAAGCGTCATAGTCCTAGTATTTGGGGTAAAGGGTTTGGTTCTCCTAGTAGTTCAAGTCCATTAAAAGAATCATTTTCTTCTGTATTACAAATATCCCCTGTTAGTGATGTTGAGGCAACTAAATCTCCAATGACTCCTAATTTACTTGTTGCTGATCAATTAGAAACCATTGATGAAGAAGACGATGAAGAAATTGGAGTATGGTCAAGCGAAGAAGTTGACCTCACAGATTCTGGTAAGGAAGATAAAAAACCGAATCCACCATCATCATCTTCGATACCAATCAGTCCATCGTCAATAATCGAAGAAATAACAGAGCCTCAAGGAATGAAAGTATCTCCTGAACACTTGACAGTGGTAGGAGGAACAGCCGTGTACAGAGAAAATTCGCCAAGTTCATCTAGCGCTTCTTTACAATTGCGAACTAATCCTCAAAATTCATCACTTGGCAAACATAATGCTAAACCATTATTTGAGACTACATTCACTATTTCTAATATCACAGACAAGCCATTACGTTACGAAATACTTTGGCCAGCATTCCGATTTGATGTATCACCGGCTTACGGAATAGTTCAAGCAAAAGGCGTAACAGTAGTAAAAATATCAGTGATGATGAAACATATGAATGCCGGATCAAAACGCGATGAACTTAAAGATTCAAAGAAGTTAATGGGAATGCTCAAAGGAGCCACGAGAATAGACAATGAGAAACCATTAATGGGGCACACTCGAATACTTGTATTATGTGAAAATGGAGAAAGAAGAGAGATATTAGTTGATATTGTTCAAGCAAAGAAAAAATCAAAAGAACTTGAACCGGTTAAAGGCACAAAAAATGTTAAAGATGGAGGAAATACGGGTATTAATAGAAATTTCATTAGACGAACTGTAGGTGATTTGTTAATGGGAAAAAAATTAAGAAAAGAGAGATTATCTTCAAAAGACGATAAAGGAAAAAATCCAGTTATTAACAATAATAATAATAATAATAATAATAATAGTAATAATAATATTGCATCTGTTAATAAATTATCGCGAAAAAGTAGACCAACCAGTCGAAGTACCAGTCCAGACAATAAAAAAGTACATAGCAATCGTAGCAAACCACTATCTTCTACTAATCGAATTAGTCGACCGAGTACACCCGATTATAAATTAGCTGATCGACCAATAATATCACGTTCACGTACACCCGAAGAATCTAAACAGCTACCACAGCGAAAAAACCTTATTTATCTTGGAATTCCTGGAAATGTTAGTTGCCCCGATACTACTATCCGTGAAACTGCTAATGGTGTATTTCGTATACATAATCCTACAAATAAACATATATCATGGCATTTAACCACTGCGACAAATCCTTTCCTTAAACGATCAGATTCATCTTCACAACAAAAAATTACCGATGAGGTATTTCTAATAATGAAAACACATGGATTTTTAAGGCCTGGACAATCAGAACGTGTAGATGTCAGTTTTCATCCTTTATTCGTCGGTACATATGTACAAAATTTTATGCTTGAAGAATCTATGAATTCTGAAGCGGCCGGTGGTTTAGGTGGTGTATCTTTACGGATGCAAGGAGAAGGAAAACCAGATACTTCATCGAGTACACCAAATGAAAGACGAAGAAGGGGCGTGGACTTTGTGGTATCAGAAAAAGAAATTCAAATACCCCCGACAAGAGTTGGAAGACGAAGGTCTATTGGGATTAAAATTGAGAACCCTTCTCCTCAATTAATACGGATTCGGTGTAAATGTGAAGTAGTATCGGGAGCAATTGGAACATCAGTTTTATCGATTCCTTTGTCTAGTGTGCTAATCAAGCCAAAAGCGTTTGTTCTATTGCCTGTACGCTTTCAACCAAAAGAATCCGGCGAGATTAAAGGTGTCGTAAAACTTCAAGCTATAGGAAAAACTGAGAGGAAAGTGGATATCATAGCGGATGGTGTAGTTGATACTGGACCTTCGATTGAATTATCTCCTTGATTGGTTGGTCTAATTAACTTAATTTAATTTTGGTCAAGAATTTAACAATTGATTTATTTAACGGACTTTATTTCAAAGAGTATGAATAAGTTTCTTTTGTATAAAACGTTGGTGAATCAGGAATTTCGGAATCAAAAATTTTTTATTTTCTTCGTTAATAGTACTTTTCATCAATTTAATGACATTCTTTAATTTCTCGATCAACTAACTAATCTCCACCACTATTGTGTCTTTAATAATGAACTAATGATAATTAATAACTCATAATAATATACATTAATAATAATAATATTGTATTCATCATCGATTTGAATTCCTTCAAAATTTTTGTTTCCTAATATTTTAGATTTACTCAAAAACCATATTTTCTACAAACAAAAAATATCGAAAAGTATTAATTAATTAGCCAAAAAATTTTGTATATTATTTTTCCCTTATGAATAAGGAATAACCAATTTTCAATTAATTATTCGCTTAAGCTTTTCTCTTTCACAGACATTTATTGTTTACAATTGTTAGTTTGTCCTTTGGGTAAATATTAGAGGTAGCCAGTTGATGATCATCTATTTTAGGGTACAATTTCATTATTAGACTGTTCTGATTTTGGAGATGCATATATTAAAGACGTTACGATAGCATGTATGATCGGATCAAGCAAAAGTAGTAACGTCGTGTTGGAAAAGCATTATTTGGTATGACAGTATGCCATTAATAAAAAAATCAGAAGTTACATATATGCAGATTACGTGCTAATTTTTGCCAACACATCAATTCTGAATTATTATTTTATTAATTCATTAATATAATTAATATATTACAAATTTCATAATTATATGTATTGATTAAATAAAGTACAGTCAGACCTCTCTATTTATAGTTATCATTTAATTTATTACCAAATTTTTAATTAATGAAAGATCTCTATAAAGTCACAATCTCTATAGTCACTATTACTAATAAATAATATTCTTAATATATATTATGGTCCGGTGTAAAGTGATTCGTACCTCAGAAAAAATTTAAAATTTTTTTCTATATATAACTTTTTATTTTTTTAACAAAAAAACCAATAGGTATTCAGATTTATTATATTAAAAAATTACGTCAAAATTCATCATCATTGCCAAGATCATTATCATCATCCATTTTATTATCCAATAAAATCACATCATCATCTAACTTCTAATATTCTTTTGCTTTTGCTAATGCTCTTTTTCAAAATCCAACTATTACTTTTGATATTATTTTTTCTTCAAAAGCATGCAAAAACTTATTCCTAATATCTAAAAGATTTGAATATGAACCTGACTTTGCTACCTCATCTTTTACTATGATTTAAACACCCTCAATCAGCTAAAGTTCATAATGATAAGAAGTAAAAAAAACTTAATGACTATATTACTTGGCTATTTTAACATATATAAATAGAACCTTTTTCTTATTCTTCTTAACAAGTTTTAAAAGTTCAGATCTACATAGTCTGTTAGAGAAAGAAATTTGATAAGCAGTTAACCAATCAGTTATTTTTTTTTTCTTGATGGCTAAGATTGGAAAAGTTTCTATTTGTTACTTGTGATAATATGCATTATCCATATGAATATTTACTGGATTATATGTTTTACTTATTATTTCACAAAATTTCATAAAAAGATCTTTAAAAATATTAATATTGAAGTTTTTATAATAATCTACTTGATCAGAAATAATATTGGTATTTTTAATAATATCTGGAATATCATCCTATTCTTTAACATTATTTTATCATTATTTTCAAGTTCTGGAAGATTTTATTACTGGATTTCAAATGTGAATAGAATTTGAAATAAGTTTATCATGTATCTTATTAGTATCATCATTTTAAAAAATGATAATTGTATTAAAGATTATTACCGTATCATACTACTTACAGTACCCCAGGTCTTAATCAAGAATAGCTATTTTTAAAATTGAATAGTACCCCCAGGTATTGTGTATAGAACCGGGTACTATTTTTGAGAGGATATATTATAAGAGAGGTATTATATTTGGATGATATTATTTATAGAAAATATAAACGTGAAAGATTTACAAACATAAACTTTTTTTGTATCCATAGTATTCATTATATTAAACGTAGTCAAATACAAAATTTAATACAAATATAAATACAATTACAATTAAAATGCTACAAGGAAATTTTCACATCCAATGAGCAAGAAATACACAAAAAAAAAGATGTCAATGGAATGCTTGGGAAAAATTGATAGTTATATTATATCACGAAAATGGATATAGCCTATGGGCAGCAGCAAGAAAATATGAAATTGAATCAAAATAACTTCGTGATTGGAAAAAAAAGAAAAATAACTTAATTTGTGTAGCTTCTTACATTCAATGATTCAATATTAGTACACATCTCAAGTATCCAGAATTGGAGGAAGAACTTCTCAGATGGTTTTGTGAATTATGATGATAATTAAAAACTGTAACTCGATATATGATTGCAGCAAAAGCTCATAATTTAGCCCAAAAACAACAATATATTATCTTATATCCAACTATTCAAAAATACCAATTTTCACAAAAATGGGTAGATAGTTTTATGTCATAACATTTGTTGGTGAATCATCGACATACCATAATTGTACAACAGCTGCCTGAAGAATATCTCGAAGAACAACAAAATTTTTTATTATTTATTCTTTACCGATGGATTGAGTATGATTATTCTTTAAAATTGATTGGAAATATGGATGAAACTCCTATGGCATTTAACTTGTCAAATTCAACAACTATTAAAGAACGTGGAGTAAAAACTATTTCTCTTCTTACCACGGGTCATGAACGTACTCATTTTACAGTAACTCTTGCCTATCTTGTGGATAGTACAAAACTCCCTTCTTTGATCATTTTTAAATTGATTAAAGTACCATGAGAGCAATTTCCTGAAGGTGTATTTGTCCATGCAAATTCAAATAGATGGATGGATGAAAAAGAGATGCTTTGGTGGGTAGAAAATGTATGAAATCGATGAGCCAATCCAGGTTTAAATTCACGTTTTCTTCTTATTTTAGATTCATTTACTGGTCATAAAACAGATACTGTAAAATGCCACTTGCATGAGAAAAATACTGATATAGCTGTTATCCCAGATGGATTAACTTCATGTTTACAATCATTAGATGTATCTTTGAATAAAACATTCAAAGCAAAGATCAGTTTAAAATAATATTTTATTTTTTAAATATATTTTATAATATTCTGTCAATAGGTTCAGCACATTTATAATCGATAGATAGATGAAGCTATCAAAGAATATACACCAACAGGCAAAATCAAGTAACCAGCATACTCACTTGTAGCAAATTGGATTAAAGAAGCTTGGAAAGCAATTGATTCGGCAATGGTTCAACGATCTTTTAAATGTTGTGGAATTTCTATAAATATAGACGGCTCTGAGAATAGTTTGATTTTTGATTTTGGATGAGTACAAGAACAAAGAGGTATAGGAAACAGTATTGAAGAAGAAGGAGAAAGAAGTGAAATTGGGATAAATATAGAAAATAAAAATGATAATTTGGAAGATACTGAAGCTGATTTAGAATACTATGAACAAGAAGAAGAAAATTATGTCAATATTTGGAATTAGTCATTTTTAACAACAGGTATAATAATAAAAGACTTTAACAGTGAGAAAAGTTTTATCTGTGGCTATGTATAAAAATCACGCTTTGTATCCAGATACTAATCAAAATTAGTTAAGATCAACTTTGAATAGTACCTGGATATTATTCAAGATTACACCACTAAAGTTGGTAAAAAGTATCCGGGTCTTAATCATGGGGGATATTATATTTTGGGGGTACTGTAAGCAGTATGATACAGTATTAATGAATCATATCCTGATATTAAAATAACATCTTGTTAAGAAATTCATATATTTTGTGACATATAGTGTAAATAATAATACAACTTATTAAGAAAGACTTTTGGAAGATATAGGATATTATTATTATCTTTTAAGTTAGCAAAATGATAATAAATATAATGATAACAAAATATAATATTATTTGATAACTTATGAAGAATATTTTTTCATTCTTCTTTACTGTAATAGTAGTCTAACTGATATAATATTCTGAGAAGTTATTACTTGGAAAGTATATAGCTATGTTCAAAGAGAAATTACTATAAAAAAGATATAGAAATTTGATGTCTGATTCTATTACTATCAGTAATATATATATACAAAAGTGATGTAATATTTTTATCTGGTTTTGATTTAGAAGATTCAAGATTTTAATACGCTAAAAATATATTATTATTGTGTCAGTTTCAGTTAGATAATACAGTTCTAACTATATTTTTCACAATATTCAAAACTAGAATAACTTGCTTATATAATAATATGCTCTGGTTTTGTTTATTGAAGAAGATAATCCTAGAGAAATACTGATAAGTATTGATCATTATCTATTTTTTTTTCTCAGTCAATGACAAATGACTTCATTCTAGAGAAGAACTAGTAATTAAAATTTAATAAAATTTGCAAAAAAAAGTCTATTTATAATCTTTATTCCATATAAAAATAGAATTATTTAATTCACTACATAATATTTTAATATTATAAAAACTTTAATCACTTATATTGAGATATGAATCACTTTGTACTGAATTATATATATAATAAAAAAATTTCTTTATAGTTATCAAATAATTAATTAATTATTTATTTATTTATTATAAATTATATAATAATTATATATATTATTATACAGATATATATATTATGATCTGATGTAAAAAGATTGATTTATTAAATAAATATTAATAAATTATTTTTTCAAAATAAAATTTTAATTTTATCTTATTTAATTAAGTTATTAAATATTAGAATTTATTTAAATATAAAAATT